GCAGGAGTATGTTTGAAAAGAAATGGCGACACCCTGAAATTTGTCAAACTTTGCACTGTTTTATTGTCCACCCTGTATGTTGAAGATAACGTTACTGTACGAATTTATTTTTGATAGGTCGTAGACAAACGTTTTTTCATACAATACATTTTGTAAAAGTGCAGGTGTTCCGAATAACTGGGATATTTTGAGAGCATAAATCTATCCGTCGAATAGGACAATAGGCTTTTGACTACAATGGCAAGCTCGAACAATTGGGACATTTTGTTAGAAGGCAGGTGTCGGATTTATTTTTGAAAGGTCGTAGACAAACGTATTTTCATACAATACATTTTGTAAAAGTGCAGGTGTTCCGAATAACTGGGATATTTTGAGAGCATAAATCTATCCGTCGAATAGGACAATAGGCTTTTGACTACAATGGCAAGCTCGAACAATTGGGACATTTTGTTAGAAGGCAGGTGTCAGGTTTATTTTTGAAAGGTCGTAGACAAACGTATTTTCATACAATACATTTTGTAAAAGTGCAGGTGTTCCGAAAAACTGGGATATTTTGAAAGCATAAATCTATCTGTCGAATAGGACAATAGGCTTTTGAGTACAATGGCAAGTCTCGAACAATAGGGAATTTTCATATTTCTCAAATTATTTTTTTTTTAGATACTTCTAGTGATCAGTTATTACATAGTTTTTTTTTTCCATTTTAATTTATACGTTGTACGAAAAAAAAATTATTGAAATTCAAATCAAAAACTTTGGCGCGAAAACACAAAATCTCAATATGAGAGCGCTTGTGACGTTAAAATTGTGTAAACAACAAATACGCATTTAACAAACTCCTGCTGACGCAATGCTATTTTTGTGTTATTCAAGTGTGTTAAAGTTTGCTTTTTGTGAAAATTGTCGCAATGGATGAAGAATATTGTAAAGGACTGCTTTTGTAAGTTTTTTTTACTTGCAAGTTCCCTATTGACAGGTTTGTTTACAGAATCGTGACGTCAAAAAAGGTAGCCATCATGGAAGCATCGTTTTGGTGGGAATTTTTTTATTTCAAATTTAGTATTATTTTTTGTGTAAGAAGGGCGATATCAGTTAAATAAAAACTGGTCATATGAATATTGTGCAGTATAAACTATCGATTTAAAACAAATTTGGAAAATTTTAGTTCACTTGCAAGTTCCTTATTGGGACATTTTGTTAGGAGGCAGGTATCGGATTTATTTTTGAAAGGTCGTAGACAAACGTATTTTCATACAATACATTTTGTAAAAGTGCAGGTGTTCCGAATAACTGGGATATTTTGAGGGCATAAATCTATCTGTCGAATAGGACAATAGGCTTTTGAGTACAATGGCAAGTCTCGAACAATCGGGACATTTTGTTAGAAGGCAGGTGTCGGATTTATTTTTGAAAGGTCGTAGACAAACGTATTTTCATACAATACATTTTGTAAAAGTGCAGGTGTTCCGAATATCTGGGATATTTTGAGGGCATAAATCTATCCGTCGAATAGGACAACAGGCTTTCGAGTACAATGGCAAGTCTCGAACAATTGGGACATTTTGTTAGAAGGCAGGTATCGGATTTATTTTTGAAAGGTCGTAGACAAACGTATTTTCATACAATGTCTGATATTGTTTAAATATATATAGTCCGACAAATACCATTTTAAAGTCACGTGATTTTGGTGGCAAAAAACGTATGTCCATTGATTATGTCGTTGATATCACCTACAAAAAGTTACTGGTGGTTAATAACTATTGAATTTTAAGATATGTTCCCACTAGCATTTTACAAACGCGTTTCTGAAGTAGTATTGACCAATCAGATGAGAATTTTAATACTTGCAATTGTTGCGAGACTCATTTTTGTCGTTTCGGCTGCCCCTTCTAATACATTCTGAACTTGAATTGGGTACTCGTTTTCTATTTGCTTCTTTTCGAGTTGGAAAAAGGTTAATATAGTCAAAATTATTAGCTGTGTTTGTTCGTTGTATCATTTTCGATAATAACTTTGACAAACTAATTGATGACAGTGACGGATTCTATTTTAGGTAAGAATTTTATGAACAATAATTAGACACCAATTTTTTTGTCAATTCTACTATCACCGCTGTTTGAGATGTATTCAATAAGGATAGAGAAAAATCACGTGACTTTAAAATGGTATTTGTCAGACTATACTAGTTTTAAGTGTATACCCAGTTGTAAAATATAAGGCTTATACATAAACAAGTTTTTAATATTTTTTAATGTGTTCTAATATATACAAATTACAATATCCTAAAACTCATTACATTTTTCAAAAACTATTAATAATAATATTTTGTACACCCCATAATATAAAATCTATTCGAAACATCCAAAATTTAAAAGAGACTAAGTGTTACCCCCATATGACTGCGAACTTTGCCCCAAATATGTCAGCGTGTATTTGTCAGATGAAGAATTCATAATTTCGATGGTGTTCTCCGGTAGCATTTCCGCCACACGTTTTGGCAAAAATGTTTCAAAAGCCACATCTCCGGTTTTTTCATACAATGTGACAAGAATAGTTTTACCAAACCGTGTTACCATGGGCACCAGTTTTCTAATTATGTAAACTTCATCCAACTTTAATGAAGAAATTTTTCTTCTTTCGAGAAAATTAACATCTTTGTTAAGCATATTATTGATTTCAACCAAGGTATCTTTTGAAATACTCATAGTTTAGGAAAAATGTAACAATTTTTACGGTACCTTGAACACACACTCACTTTCGGAATACTTCACAAACACAATATTTCTAGTTGACTTTGAAGGTGACAGATCGTACTACAAACGATGCTGGCCTGTGACTATGGCAACTTTCCTCAATCGGAAAAGAATTTATATACATCTCACGGTTGGTGGGAGGTGCTAACACCTGAATATTCAAGGTCGAATATGTTGGAGAAGTGGGGGAGGGGAATCCGTTGTGGATGTTTGTGGGGGTGCTGAAACCTAACAATTCAAGGTCAACTATGTTAGAGAAGTGGATTTTCAATTATACACACCTCAACTCAAGATCAAAATATTCTGCGATCTTGAAAATATTGTAGGAAATTCATGGTCACACCTCAAGTTCACATACCAACTTATGGGTCGCTCAACTGACCTTGAGCAACTCAAGGCGCCTTTGATCTGAAATTTCACTTGAGCGTGGGAACTTTTTTGGTACCGTGGGAAATTTTCCAGATTGTTAGCGCCTTTGATCTGAAATTTCACTTGAGCCTGGAAACTTTTTTGGTACCATGGAATAATCCCCAGATCGACGGTGCCTTTGTACTGTTTTTTCATGAAATCCTGACAAGGTTGAATTAGGAATAATTGCTCATTATTGAAATTATAGCTAATTGGAAAAATATATATTCTAAGAAAGAGTATGAATTCTCTATAAATCAGAATAAGTGGGGGGTACTCAAGGTCACATTTCAAGGTCAGGGAGAGAAAAGTGGGAGGCGCTCAAGGTCACATTTCAAGGCCAAGGTCAAGGTCATGTGACGTCAGAGGAGTGGGGGGCGGTGTCAAGGTCATGTGACGTCAGAGGAGTGGGGGGTGAATCCGAATCGGGCTTTGAACACTACTTACAGTATCAAAATGAGATCTCATTTCATCACTGAGTGTTGGAATGGGATTAAGAGTGCGTTCCGTGTCAGTGTTGAAATGAGTTTATATTTTGAATTTCAAATATTTTGAACGAGATTTTGGATGAATCATAATAAATCTTGCATGAAACACGTCGCAAAATGCTTGTTTTTTTCACAGACAATAAGTTTGCCCCCCCTTATCCAAGAAATAAACTGCGGGACAAATGAAACGGTGAAACGGAACGAGCAAACTTTTAGGTTAACTTTGAATTCAAATATCACGCGAACTAAAAAAAAATCGATGAGCGGTTTGCGGAATTTGAAAGATATAAGGTCTTTTTCTGCAGAAATCACAAACCAGTCAGAGCGAATTTCATTGGTTGAAAACAGTCAGAAACAATCAGAAAACTAGTTTCAACCAATGAAATTCACTCTGACTAGTTTGTGATTTCTGCAGAAACAGACATAATATCTAGACATGCTGCTTTGATCCAAATTTTTGAAGTGGAAACTTGTTTAGAATCGTTGGGAGTGATTTGAGACGTAGGTATTAACACACAACAAGAACCTGGAACAAGCCAAGTGAGCTGGAACAAGTCTGAAAAATGTCTGGATAAATCTGTATGAAGTCTGGGAGAGTCTGGAAATTTCTGGAAACGCCTGGAAAGAGCCTGGAAAATTCTGGAAAGGGTCGAAAAAATTCTGCCATAGGTCTCAAAAGACCTGGGGATCATTTTCCAGAATCCGGATCAGTCTGTAGAAGTCTGGATAAGGTCTAGATAAATCTGGATAAAGTCTGTAAAACTCTGGAAAACTCTGGATATTGTTTGGAAAAGTCTGGAAAAGACTTGGAAATTTCTGCAAAAGGATGGGAAAATTCTGAAAAAGGTTCCAAAAGACCTGGGGATGATTTTCCAGAATCCGGATAGTCTAAACAAGTCTGGATAAAGTCTGGATTAATCTGAATGAAGTCTAGAAAACTCTGGAAAGCCCTGGATAAGTCTGGATAATGTCTGGAAATCTCCGGGAACGTCTGGAAAGAGCCTGGATATTTCTGGAAAGGGTCGGAAGAATTCTGCCAAAGGTCCCAAAATACCTGGGGATCATTTTCCAGAATCCGGATCAGTCTGTACAAGTCTGGATAAGGTCTGGATAATTCTGGATAGAGTCTGCAAAACTCTGGAAAACTCTGGATAAGTCTGGATATTGTCTGGCAAAGTCTGGAAACGTCTGGAAAAGACTTGGAAATTTCTGGAAAGGGTTGGAAAAATTCTGAAAAAGGTCCCAAAAGAACTGGGGATCATTTTCCAGAATCCGGATCAGTCTGAACAAGTCTGGATAATGTCTGGAATAATCTGGATGAAGTCTGGAAAACTCTGGAAAACTCTGGGTAATGTCTGAAAATCTCTGGAAACGTCTGGAAAAGGCCTTGGAATTTCTTGAAAGGGTAGGAAAAATTCCGGAAAAGGTCCCAAAAGACCTGGGGATCATTTTCCAGAATCCGTATCAGTCTGTACAGCTCTGAATATGTCTGGATAATGTCTGGAAAAGTCTGGAAATCTCTGGGGCTGACACGCTTTTATAATACATCGAAATAAAAAGTGAAAAATAAATATATTTTCAAAAAAACTAAAAAACACGCTTTTATAGTAAATCGAACTAAAAAGTGAAAAATAATTTTTAATATAAACAGAAAATATTGATGAACAAAAAATATTAGAATTATTGTCAAAAAAGCGTGGGGTGGTCAATGTATGAGAAATGTGAAACAAAGCACCCCAGCGTGTATTTTAGTTTTTTTAAACTATATTTATTTGCGTTTTTTCTCAAGTCTTTTGGAGGGGGGGGGACGCCACTATGTATGTTAGTATGTATGTAATGCATGCAGTTCGATGAAGGTTTCACTTCTACCGGGTGTGAACTGCACAGGATTTTTTTTTGTTGTGAAGCTGTTTACTGACTACAAGGTGAAAAAGAAAATGAAGTTTTTTCAACCAAAATTTCCAAGTACCTATCTAGTTTCTACAAAACAAAAAATAAGTATTTTTTATTGACTTTTTTTTAGTTATTTAATTATAAAAAAGAAACTAATTGCACAAATTTTCAATATTCCTATTCGTCAATCAAATTTTGTTTGCTAAAAGTCTGCTATTTTTAGGGTTTTTGTGCTGGTAGAACCCACTATATTTTGTAAAACTAATGCCGTTTCATTTGAAGAAGATTTAAAAAATTCTTCAAATTTTGGAACTTGTCGAGCATCAGATACCTAATTTAAAATCCGTAGTAGAATCTCCACGTCCGCTCGTGCCGTCGGCGTCGCCGACATAGGCACATCGCGCGCTCTGGATATTCATTACTTTAATCGAGGATAACTAGAAAACTATTTGTTACACATGGTTGATTTTTTTTAAAAAACTTTTTTGATACTTCGTCGTTATATCATACGCAGATACTATGGCAAAATTCGTTCAAATAAAAAAGTTTCTCGCTTACCGAAAAACATGCTGCAATTAAAGTACGATTTGAAGTTCAACCCATTTTCCAAAAAAAAAATAAAGTTACTGTGGGATTTAAACTATCACAGTTATTACCGCCTATATGTCCTCTACCGATTAAAAAAAAAAAAATTGATAGGTTTATTAGTTCCGGAGTAATCGCGTGGTGGGTTTAAAAAAACACGAAAATAAATAACCTCATGCGTCAAGAAAAAGCGAGGTAGTATCTGGTATTATTTTCATTTATTTCAAAATAACATTTTGACATATTTGTCACATTTTTTGAGATAAAAAATGTCTGACCCCGCGTAATTAGTCATTTTAGATGCATAACCGATCATCCTGTATAGGTTTCATGTGGTTACCCTTCAAAAATCGTTTTTCTCCACTATTAAGCTGTAGAAGCCGCACTTATAATAATTATAGGGAACAGACCCAAAATAGTTATTTATGATATAAGTGTTAAAAGTACATTTTTAAGGCACGCATGTGAAAGTTTGCAGAATGAGCGAAGCGAATTCTGCAATTCACATAAGTGCCTTAAAAATACTTTTAACACAAATATCGTCGCCCTAGTTGTGAATGGTCGTAATCCACAAAATGTTCATTCATGAGTTGTGACTGTTAACCTCTCTGTTAACATACTTAAAAATGTTTAAATTTCATGTTGATGAATAGATCTAAGCCACTGATCAATATTTGACCTTGTTATAGTATATTTGCTAATTAAAAAGAATGTTTTCACAAAAAACAAAAATTTTATATGCAGTTTACTCACAATTTACCTTGAGTGGATTACGACCATTCACAACTAGGGCGACGATATCATACAATATTTTTTCTACAAACGGCAATAACAAGCAATAACCAGTGACAAATTGGATTTTTAAATGAATAATAAATTGGAAGCATCTTTCCTACGTAAAATTATTGAATTTGATATTTGTCAAAAAATTCAAACAACCAGCACCTTGTTTTACAGGTAATGAAATGTCTCGTCAGTTTCTTGAAAGTCTGTCGTATGGTCTATCGTGGTCAGTAAGCTTTTTGCTAAAAATTGCATTTTTAACACGTTTGTAGAAAAAATATTTTATATTATTGTCAGTGGGGCAAACCATTCTATTATAGCATCCACGAAAAACACAAGTGTTAATCGTTGCACCAACTGCTAGTAACTCATATTGCTTTCGCTTTGCACTGATGAGAACTAATAAGCTTAAAACCAGACTGCAGCTAGCGTAGCATCCTTACAAGGCACAACTCTGTACTCACAGTATGTGTTAGCAGTTGATACTACGATTAACACTTGTGCTTTTCGTAGATACTATTAGTTAAGCAGTATCTAGTTGTAAAACCACCAACACTCTATTTGCATTTCAGTGCTGGTGTTGGAAGAACCGGAGTGTTTATAACATTAAGTATAGTTTTGGAAAGGATGCAATACGAAGGTGTGGTGGACGTGTTTCAAACTGCAAGACTATTGTCGACTCAGAGGCCTGCTATGATACAGTCAGAGGTAATTGAACAAAAAATTTAATGAATTTTATTAACTTTTTTTTGTAGGATCAATATCAGTTTTGTTATCGAGCAGCTCTCGAATATCTAGAATCGTTCGATCATTACAGAAACTAAATGTAGAAACCTAAGCAGCCGTATTTTTAATTTAATTGGTGACAGAAGCTGACAATAACTGCCTCATGCATCTATCCAGGCTCTTTCATTTTCTACATCACGGTATTGCTATCATTGTAGGCAAGCATCCACTTAAGGCAGTTTTGGCCGTGGGTATCCCCACAGTGTATCTAACACAGTCCCAAAGGTGAGATAGAGGACATCTTGAGACGAAATAGTACAGCGAGTATTCGGGTATTCTATAGAGGATTTTCTAGTGAGTAGCCGTTTGTAACTGTGATATCAAGAGCTATAGCCGTATGGTTATAACCCTCACCACCAAACGAACCAGTTATAAACAGCGGTGATAGGGCCGTCCTGCTAAATTGAAATTATTGTTACTAAGGTAAGGCTAGTACTTCTACTGCACTAAAATACCGTTTAATATGATTATAAAAATTATGCATTGAAACTTTAACAAGTTTATTGAAGAATTAACTTTTGCCATTATTTGAAATTGATGTATTCGCGCCTTTATGACGTATTATGACTCCTGCCAATGGGACACGAACAAAAATGTTCCATAACGACCTATAAACCCTGAAAAATAGGCAACCAGATATACACTTTTCATTTTGTTTAAAAAATCAAGACAGATTCCAATGTCATAACCGCCCCCTTAATTGCTTGATTTCTAAGTTCTGACAACAGATTGGGAGTCGACAATACTATTGGTGAGAGCCATGTGACGTCACGTTAGGCGCGCGTTTTGAATAGACTCGTTTTATCGGCAAATTCAATATTTTTTTTCTAACTGAATAACGAATGGTGGATCAAATTATTGTTACATACATTTGATATTGTATTCAGGCAATTCGAAAACCCAATTTAAAAAAAAAAAAACGAAACGGCCCCAACTCATGGCAGCGCAATACATGTATTATGACCCATAGTTATTCGCTAGCCAGTATTTACATTTCTTCACTTATGTTGAGTTCTTCACCTATACTTAAAGGTTTTCTTTGCTTCAGTGTTCTCTTCTGAATTGTACTCGGAAAACTTTCTCTTACCTTCTCAGGCCGTCGAGACCAACATAATATACAACCCGCATACAAATACAAATATATGCGTTTGTTTCAAGTAAATTATTATTATGCAAATACTCCTGATAGGGTTTTCATATACATATATGTTTGCGGTATTGACTGAGCCTACTGGTTTAGGATAACTGAAGAATTTTTATGAAAGTTGTAGGAAAGAACGAAGATTAAAAAAATAATTGGTCTTAGTTTAAAACACAATAGTTTTCAAAACTGCCATACAGGGTGTCCGGAAAATAGCGTAAAAGCTCTTTACTACATGGTGGAGGACTCTTCAAGGAACCCCAGAAAAATAATTTAAAAAATCTGGTGGCATTCTTAAGAATGTTATTACCATTTTAATGTTTATTACAATTGAAAACACTGAAAATATCTCTTTGGCAATTTGTCACAGAATCAAATTAAGTACCTGTGTACCTAATTACCTCAAAAATTCGAAGGTGACTTAAAAAATGTTGTCAGATCAATTTTTCCCGTTGTAATTTAGAGATTTTGCAATTTTCATAATGCGTTGCAAAGGTTACCAACAAATTTCTATAAACCATTTTCTAATGAATTAACAAAATATACCTAACACTTTGTACGAAATATTGCAATTTGAAAAAAAAAACTCGAAAAAAAATAAAAAATAAGGAAGTTGAATTTCCACATTTACCCCTTCGTATTTCCAAGAATGGTTGAGGAGGATTTTTCAAATTATTTTTCCAGGGTTACTCAAAGAGTTTCCTATTACGTAGTGGAGAACTTTTACGCTATTTTCCGGACACCCTGTATATCATATTTGATAATTTTTAATTTTTTTAGTGCTTAAACCTCATGCGTCAAGAAAAAGCGAGGTAGTATCTGGTATTATTTTCATTTATTTCAATCAAGACACTATTTGCCCAGGCTGAAGATCCAATGGCAGATATGGAAGTGCGTCAATTGTAACTGGAAACTTTCACAGAGAATGCCACAAAAAATTTCGCAATTATTGTTGTTGGCTTGTTACAGCAAACAAAAGAATATCTTGAATATTCAAAAGTTGAAGAGCAGGAGAAATGGGAAAAGCTTCCGATGTTGCAAAAAAAAGGATAGAATGGAATGTGTCAAAACGACGAAAATAGTTAGTAGTAAATATATTATGTACATACATATAAAATTTTAATAAATGTTTGATTTTTATTGATCTATTTTCCCTTGATTTTATTTTATCTGCAATATGTTTAACGCAATAAGACATCCAGCATGTCATGTCTCATGATTTTCCAGAGTACACAGACTGCATTAGCTCGGTGTAGACTTAAATGATAACTTGAGGACCATGGAATGTGTATAGACAATAGGTAACCTTTCACCAAGTAGAACACCAGTTCAATATCAGAGTTCAAAAAGATCAGTGCCGACTCAGTAAGCATCAAAGGTTGAGGGTCTTCGTTTATCCTATATACTTGAAGGTATATTCGAAACTCGCTAACACACTAAAGTATTAGCGTTAGATTATTTGCGAAACGTTGACAATATTTTTTTTCGAATTTTTTTTCAAAATCTGAAAATTTTCTGATGTTTTCACGAAAAAGGCATCAATGTCCTTCCTGCTAGAGACCCGGATGGGTAAATTCAATGTTTTCTACGGTACAGATGGTTTGCTCTCAGTATCGCAGTAAACATTGTACCGAAACACAGATCACACCGAAATAACGGCGTGTCTCACATACATTGCTTTTCTATATCGAAATAAATAATGTAAAACAAGTAGCGGCAACAAATTATATTGTCAAACTCCTAGTTATGTTAATTAGATCAATTGTTTATTTGAACCTAAAATGTAAACGCATAATGGGAAATTTCTTCCTATGTAGGTATTGTTTATGCAGACACTGCTTGATTAATGCTATTTCAATATAAAAGAACGCTGCAACGCCAGTAGTTACCTTTTGTTTTTGAGTATGACTTGTAGCAACTTGCTCAGTATTCCTTATGTTGCTTTAGATTTTTATGGAATAGTTTTTTTTTTAAAATCTAGTCTCTGATTTGGAAACAAATTTGTAGCAGTCGTACGGATTTGCAGAGTGCACAGTGTCGGTAAATTTGAGAATCCGTCGCGAAAAGTGAAAGTTTGGATTATCAGTGAAATACCAACACATCCTGTCCACTTCTCATTTTAATGGTTAACTGCAAATGAGAGCATTCTGAAACAACGTGCAAGGGATTTGTTTTTGTTGCTAACATCGAATTTAGTAAGTCTCTTTTTCCTAGTATTTTGTGAATTGATGTTGTGTTGTAATGACCCGGGAAAAATAGACCCGTAATTTACAAGGACTTAAAATTACAAAAACAATAAATTCAAATGTAATCAAATAATCTAAAATTGAATCTCCAATATCTCAAATCAGTATAAAAAAATTAAAAACAATGAAACAAATTAGCATTGACCTAAATTAATTAAAATATTTAAAATACGTCCAAAGTTCAAATGGTAATAGTTTGTCACCAAGCGCGTGCCATCACACTGAACTCATAAATCATAACCCGGAAAAAAATTAAAAACAAAGCTATGGTAATTAAATTGAGAGAAATTTCAAAAGATCTGTTGATCCTGATAATCCAGGAAATTGCGAAATATTCAGTTTTAAACAGAAAATTATATTCCTTGGGAGGATCGAAAAATATAAAAACAGCGGGAAGTTCACAGTCAGTATCCAGGTCAGTACAGTATTGAGTCTACAGTAATCAAGCAGTCGCGATCAATTAGTTGAGATTAATATGGAGATAATTTTTTATTGTTGCCTCGGAAGAACGCGTTAAATCGAATTTTTGAAAAAGTACCGGAAAATCGTGGATGAAAGAACATTTAAATTCGTTCAACATTATGTTCGAACTGTAAATAATAAAAATAATTGTTTTAGAATAGTTTAGTGATTTAAGAATGGAATGTAAGTACTCTGGTGACATGTTCATTTGACCTTATCATTGATTGCAAGTATTAAGTAACTGAAGTAAGTGAATTTGACCATGGGACTTCGCAAATATGTTATTAGCTTGAGTGAATTTTTGAATATTTTTTGTTGTTTTATTTAGTATAAATAGGAAATCTTAATGACTATTGAATCAGTAAGCTCTGTCTAATGAAGAGAATTAGTGAACATTGAAATAAAGATTATAGTTAAATATTTTGAACTCTTTCTGATTAACAAAATTTAAATTAGGTAAATGTGCAATACTGATTTGGGATAGTATGGTTATGTCTGAGTTTAGATCGTAAAGCTTCAATTAACATGTTTAATGTTTTGTAATAATATTCACTCTGGCTTAAGCTTATGATTTTGAGAAAAGTTTTGTACAAATTTGACAGTAAACGAATTCAGGGGTTTTAGACACTTATGGAATTGGAAGTTTTAATATTTCTAATGTTTTGACGACAAAAGGATTTATGGTTAAAAATATTGTACCTAACCTAATTTAGTAGGGCTCTATAAAAGAGTTATTTAAGTACAAGGCTTTTGATTGTAAAATTTTATTACAAGCTCAGAGATAGTATAGAGGTGGCTGTAAAGTTAGCATAATTTTAGAATTATTTTAGAATTGTTTTTTTTTGTATTAGAAAGGTTTTGGTTAGGGTATAGAATTGTACGATTGTAATTTGGAAAAGCTCTGTTCATTTTCTCGAATAAAGTATATTTTTATTAATGGAACACCGTACTACAATTATTGTTTCTCTCACTCGCAAATAGACCCGCACCCACAATTTTATTTTACAGTAGCTGCCCAAGGAAATAATTACCATCAAATACGACCGCTCGCAATTCACCATCAAACCTATATAATAGAGTACTTGGTGCGGATGCTACATTGGTATCAGGTGTGGGGTGTATTATTTGTACATTGAGAGCAACTGTTAAGTTATTTTAATTGTATTTTGAGAGCATCGGTAGGGTTAAAAATATTTTGTGAACTAAGAGCAACAGCTATTTCATTTGTTAAATTTAAGTGGAGAACAACCAAGCGACGTGAAAGATGTCCAACCCTCCGAGCCTCAAAACCACAACCTGCTGGGCTCTACTCAAAGACAGTTTGAAAAAGCAATTTGGTAGGCCTTATGTGAAAGGGACCATTATGAAACACTTCATAGAGCTTAAGCAACGGAGAGGTGAAGCTAGTAGACAGTACCTTACTAGATTGAAGGTGTTGAGACATAGGACAGCTACATTCACAGGAAATCCAGCTACACATAAATTATTCGAAGACAAATAATTACTTGGAGACATAGCCACCCAATTTACCCTAGGAGTGTTAATGCCGATAAAGCAGCTAGTACTCTGAGGAAATCCAATAACTTTGAATGGAGCATTAAAAATAGCTGAGAGGGAGGAATCAATCGAAAATTTTCTCTAGCCAAACAGTCGAGATTGGCGCTAATCAGAAGAAGACAACAGGCACAAGCCATCAAAACCGTTGGAATTAAAAAACGCCGTAACCGTTGAAATGAAAAAACGCCGCAATCTAGAAAAATGGTGTTCTACGTACTACAACTGCAACCAGGAAGGTCACGTGAGACCAAATTGTCTGAAACTAAGGGACGTGAATCGACAAGGCAACAGAAGCACGCTTGTTTGTTTCAGATGCAACAAGGAAAGGCATTGCTAAAAATTGCCACAGGGAAGTCAGCGCTTTTACCCAGCAATCGGGAAATAGGGAGACTTTAAACTCCAACGCGGCCACCTTTCAACCCCGAAACGAGGCAAGTTGGGAATGAATGGAGGAGGGTTAGTTTGGGTTAGTGTGCTCGGAAACTATTGTGCCAAAAATTAGGGGATGATAGATCTTGCCGGAATGAACGTTTTTTACTGCTAAACTCATAGGCGCATGCGTTTTGGTTAGGTGATAATAACACATTACAGTGCGCACTGTGGTAGCTACCTTGCATACGGAGAAACGTATTTAAAGCAGAAACTGTGTTATTAAATAATACAAAACCCAAAGAATGCTTGCAGTATTTTGTAAAAATAATAGTTCACATGAAAAAAAAAACTCAAAATTACGACCACCCGCCTCATTGCATGCGTGACAGCGTTGTAGCAGAAATATCGAGTAGATTTCTGCAGGAAACCCTTCCCGAACTGTTAGAAACTGTCTCTCTATATGTCGTACAAAACATGTGGTACCAACACGACGGAGCTCCACCATATTACTATTTAGCCGTAAGGGAACATCCCAACGAAACCTAATCTGGAAAGAATGATTGGTAAGGGCGTGCCTATTGCATAGCCTTCACGTTCACTAGACCTAAACGAATGCGACTTTTTTTATGAAACATGAAAGCTCTTGTGTAAGACACTCCAGTTGAAACAGAGAAACATTTAGTAAGAAGGATTGTTGCAGCAGCTGCTGAAATTCGCGTAACGCCAGGAATTTGTTCAGAACGCTATGCTACGGCGCCGCATTCAGGCTGGTGGTCGTAATTCTGAGCATCTTTTGATCTGAATCATTGTTTTTGATAAATACTGCAATCATTCCTTGGGTCTTGAATTGTCTTATAACACAGTTTCGGCTTCAAACACGTTTCTTCGTGTGGAAGGTGGCTAACACAGCGCGGACTGTTATGTGCGCATGCGCCTATGGTTTTATACGTAAAAAACGTTTATTCTGGCGAGATCTGCCCTCCCTTAATTTTTGGCACAATACTTTCGGAACACCCTGTATATACATGCTCCAAGGTGAGAACCCCAGAAAGTGTACGTGATGTAGTAAGGATAAGTCGGACCTAGCCTTAATGGATTCTGGAGCTGTAGTATCCCTAGTTAAGCCCGAGATTGCCATGGGGTTCAAGAAAGAAAAATGTGATGTAAATTTGGTGGATATACAGGACGATAAAATTCCTGTTAAAGGTATGGCAAAAATACATGTGATGCTCGACGGAGACATCATTGTGAGACACAATTTTATTGTGGTTACTACTGATTCCTTAAGGGCAGAATTACTATTAGGAATAGATTTTCTGCTCCAATATGGTATTAAAGTGGATTGGCAGAATTATTGTATGTACGCTTTTGAGAAGGAAAGAAAATCCAAATGTATGATGCTGATTATGCGATACAGAAAGTAGAAAAAGAGTTGATGAACAAAGATAGGAATTTGGATTTGGAGCTTGACGAGCTGAAAAATTTCGAGAGAAATGGAAATTGTGTTAAAG